AACTGGAATAAAAGAACATGATTGTTGACTTACATCTTACATACTTTGGAGAAGAGATTAAAAGTAAATAGAGGGCTGAGGATATAGCTTAGTGGTGCAGTGCCTGCCTGACAAGCTTGAGGTTGTGAGTTCGATTCCCACTGCCAAAAAAAGAGGATATAAAAGTAAATAGAAACAAAACCCCATCTGTATGTTGTTCAATGTAATCTCACTCCTAGATGAGATTAATCTCCTCCTACCCCCCATGAAATGCCTACAATTTTGACACATGGCACAAGTCAGACTGTAAAGCAAAAAAATGCTTTTCTGTCACAGGTACAGGAAACAATCTTGCCTGGGTCTCCCTGACTGTTCCTGGAACACTATCTGCTGCCTGCCCTAGGCAGAGGGCTAAACCTACTTACTTTCCTTCTGGAGCCACCAACTTCAGCCAGCACAGTCAAAGAGGCTACTGGCCTGCCTTGCAGCCAACTCTCAGAGCCCTCCTGAATTTTATAGGTCTATCATCCACTGTCCTGCACACACACACACACACACACACACACACACACACACATGCTGCCCACCACATTCAGACACACATTATTCCTCTTGTAAACAAAAGGCATTAGGCAATGCTGGGAGAATTATAATCGGGGCCAGTGGACTAGTAGTTTACCTTGCTGGCAAACTGTACACGGGCCAAATAGAACCTTGTAGCCCTGCTAGACTGGAACACAGCAAAGCTGAATTCTTTTTATGTACCTATTATCCTTAAGTTAAATTCATCTAGGTAATCACACTGTTCATTTGCTTTGTGACAGGTGTGCAGAAGGCTGATCATCCCAGACTTTGTTAAATGCCTCATGGTGTACAATACGTGTTTTGATTAAATAAGTTTCAGTTTTGGTTCATCACTTGTACTTGATTTATTCTGAGAAGCTTACTGCCAGGTCCTGAAAATACCCTTAGTTATAGTTTCTGCAAGTCACTTAGTGCCCAAACTGGCTGCTTAGTAACTGAAATGCTTGACAAAGAATAAGTTGGAAGGCAGAAATTCTATGGTCTGGTTAGCCCCAGTGTCCTTTTCCAGCTCTGTACTCCCTACCTCCAAAGCCTAACATCCAAAACCCCATGGAGCATCACAGCTGGAGCCTATCCTGACTGATTGGGCCTTCTTGCTGGTGCAGAATAGCACTTGCTTGGTTCCCCTGAGTACCTTGGTCCTCTGCCCCACATCCACCCCCTCCGAGGTAGAAAAGGATGGTGGCTGTGACTGCCCAGAGAGATGCTGAAATATGCTATCAACCTGTGGCCTTTGTGTGCACTCAATATTCCAGGGATCTGACAGATTTCTCCAGTGGCTCACCACCACAGGAAGGGGCTCATAACTCTCTTGAGAACATGCAGACATCATCAGGAGTCTTGGGTTCTTCGAAAAGTGCCCACTTGGTAGTGAAATTTGCTGTCTTGAAACTCAAAACTAAAAGCAAGTGGTTTACTAGTAAATGTTTAAACACAGCTCTCTTTGCAGAGGACTGGTACCTGATTTGCAGCATTTGATTTTTCTGCAGTGAAGTCTCTGACCATGATGGATTTCAAACTACCACAGCATGTCATTGAATGCCAGGTTGAGACAAGCTGCACCCATTCTGCTCTCCCGAGCCAGAGTTGGCAAGGGCCAACCCAGGGCTGGGTAGTGGCCAGCTTGGCCCTATGCTTCTCTTATTTGAAATACTACAAGATAAATTTAGGGAAAGAAAAACAGAACTCATGATTTTATGATGAATTGTACTACGGTTTGGAAAGGCTCTGCAGATCACCCTGTGGCCCTCAGTGCTTCCACACCTTTCTTTGAACTTAAACTACTTCTGGTGATCTTTTGCCCCTGGTACAGTTTCATAAAATAATTTTTCTTCCTTTCTCTCTAGACTCAAGGTCTCTGGGCTCAGAAACCCTTTCTGATGTGTGAGTTTGGTCTCAGCCCTACACTCCACCATGCTCCTCAACATATCCAGTACATGCTCAGTAAATTCTGGGGTTTAACAGCTTTCATAACCCATAACAGATGATCAAAGGCTTTTGTGGCAGGATCCCTCATTTGGTCCTGGGAGAGAAGTCCATGAGTCACTGTTTCAGAAAGAGGGACAGAGAGAGAGAGAGAGAGAGAGAGAGAGAGAGAGAGAGAGAGAGAGAGAGAATATGACACAGAGAGAGACAGACAGAGTGACAGAGAGAGGGAGATTGGAATTAGGATTGAGTTAAGATTGAGTTGAGATTATTTCAAGTCACAGAAACAGAGCCAAAGCCTGCTGGACTCCTGATGGAGGAAATGTTGTGAACTCCAAATCAGCTGAGTCCCAACCCCAGTGCCTGTTGGCCTCTTCGCCTAGTTTTCTAATATTGGGCCACTCAAGGTTTCTTCAGGGAGTTGGATAGACAATGTTTCTCTTTCTGTGGGCTGCAAGGTTCAAAAATGACCAAGGTAGCCTAGAGACGGAGCTTCTGGAATCTCAATTGCAAGCCATAGTTTGAATAAGGGGCTGAAGCCTGAATAATAAGTCCCTGCAAGACTCCTTAATGTCCCAGAGCAAAAGGCGAGAGAGAGTGAGTGCTATTCTCACCACACAGCTCAGGATCTTTTCAAGCCTTCTCATCCAGAGAGGGTGCATTCTGGGCTGTAGATTCAACCTGCTGGTCCAAGAGACTAAGCTTTCTTCCCTTGAACTTGCAGAGAGCTGAGGAACCCTTCCTTACCTTCTTTCCACATTATTAGTACTACATTTGATTGGTGCATCTTTTTTTAATCTTCCAAAGCACTTTCACACATACATATGACTCTTTTTCATGTGTTTTTAGTTTAATGGTGTCATCCAACACCTCCAGTGCAAAGGCAGCATAGAGCAGTGGCTCAGCACATGGGACATAGTATGAAGACTGACTAGATCGAAATCCACTGCTGGCTGTGTCGGCCTTGGGCAATTTGCTTAATAGCTGTTTTTCAGTTTCTTCATCTGTAAAATGGGGCTGATAATGATAGCTACTTGATAGTGTTGCTATGGTGATTAAACGAGTTAAGATTTGTAAAGCACTTACTGCCTGGTGCTATCATAGCAATTTCTACATAAATGTTTTGAAAATTGGCATAAATGTTTCCACTCTGACAGATAATAACCATCACTATCATGTTCCAAACAAATATCAAGTTCGTCCACTTTTCCTCCTCAATGTTTCAAATCCTCCTGCTCCCCACTCCTTCACTGCTACCCCTGCCCTAGTTTAGGCCCACAGTAACAACAGCACACTGTTGGCAACCCTCCCAATGCACACCATCCAGCTTCCCTTGCTGGTTTTCCCTGTTGCAATCCTCTGATTTTCAAGGCTTTTGCTCTCACTCCCTCCTACTCATGCTCTATCACGAGTTATCCTCTTTAAGAGGAGGAACCATCAGCCTCTCTGAATCCTCAGCATTCAGAACAACGCCTGCCACAAAGAAAGTACTCAACAAACAAGTGGTGAATTAATGGTTGTTTGTTGGGTCCCCAGCCCCATGTAGTGGTTTACAGGGGAGTTTTTATTCAGTCCACCCGAAACCTTGCCTGACAGTAAATGCACCTATTGTCCCCATTTTGCAAATAAGCACATGAGGCTTGGAGAGGTTTTAAAAACTCGCCCAGAAACACATATTTACATTGATTTGGGTATTCTAATCATTACACAAGAGTCTGCAGTTTATAGTGCTGTATAGGAGCTGAGAATGCCATCATTGGTATCACTTGTGCATGGAGGTCTCATATTCAATCGGTCTATTAAGAGAGTTGCTACTTAATTTTTTACATAGTTTGTAGTTGAATTAAAGGATTATTCATTTGATAATTTATAATCTTTGTGAAAGTAGAAATGCACATGGGCACACAGAATAACATTGTCTATTTTTTGGTAATTGGTCTGTGCTGTGGATTTTTTTTTTACCAGTTGGTCTGTGAGTTCATTGGATCCTATTGCCATCACATACTACATGTCAAGGACTTTGGTTAGTGTCCTTTCTGTACATTATCATCCTAAATGTCACACTTATCAAAAATCTATGAAAGAGTGCTCTATGTTAAGAAAATCACATTGGTCTAAATTGACGAAAGCTTTACAGATTCCTAATAGTAGTTACCACTATTGACACCAACAGTGGCAGGACACACCACTTCCTGATAACCTCTTATGCACCAGGCCTCCCGTTTGGGCTCTCAGTTTAACTTGAATTCACCCACCAAATCCCTTTGAACTCTGTCCTGCTGTTTTCTTTATTTTAAAGATGGAGAAAGTGGAACTCAGAGATTTTAGCTCACTTGCTTGAGGTCACACAGCTATTGAATGTGGAACCTGAACTGAAATTTAAATTTGTGTGTTTCTAAAGCCTGGGTGTTTATCCCAAGCTGGACTTTGAAGACTGTTCAAGTTACTTAACCCTCTCTGAGATTCAGTTTCCTCCTCTGTAAAGTTCAGGCAACAAACACTTAACTTGTAGGGTAGCTGTAAAGATTAGAAATAATAGATGCTGAGGTCCCAGGGTCATGTAGTAGGCATTTAAACCATGCTAGAGGTGTTTATGAATACATCGGAGTGTTAAACGACCGAAAGAAGACCTGAGATCCCTTTAAATGCATTGAGGAGCTGGAGAGGAGGATCTTCAGCTTTGGCTGTCTTAAGAGCTGGCCCTCTCCCCTCCAGGGTACGGTGACCCAACGAAACTCTGAGCGACAGGCAGGGGGCAGGGGCCTGAGTTTGGCACGGACAACCTCTGCAGGGATTCAGGAGAAAGGCGGGGAGTTGGGAGGGGCATAGAAATCCCGGACATCAGAGGACTGCAGGTGCTAGGCAGAGTTGGTAGAGGTGGGCTCCCGAGCCTGGTGAGGGAGGGGAAAACGTTGGGGCGGGCCGGCCGGCGGGCGGAGGGAGAGAGGGAGGCGGGGCTTGGAGCCTGAGAGGCCGTCCTTAGACAGCTCTCCCCATGCCGGGCAGTTCGCTGCATCTGAAGGAGCTTGCTGGAGAACCTCCAACAGCGGAGCTGGCCTTCAACTACCGTAAGTACCTGCAAATGAGCGCATAGTCCAGTGGCCGAAGATTAATTACTGGCCACCAGATTCTAAACAAAACCCCGAGAGTCTCCCTGCGGTAATTAATCGCCATAAATCAAACTGCTCCCCCACTAGTCTATCCCCTCACCTCCTTCATCCCTGCCGTCCTCCTTCCCTCCCCGGATCCCAGCAGTGCCTCACAGCGCTGTCTGGGCACTGTAGATATCTTCTCTTTGCTTTCTTAGTCTTCCCTCCAAACCCTCCGCTGAGCAGGTACCCCGCACCGGCCGAGCCCCACCCCTTTGAGTCCTGAAGCTCTCAAAGCTGTGCAGGGTCAAGCTATTAGACATTTCAGGCATGTTACCCTCTCAAGCAATGTGATGCTCCCTAAGGGTGGGGAAGTACTTGGGTGGTGCAGAAGGGATGGTGAAATGGCTAAATAGCCCAAATTGGAGGTGGGGGTGGGGTGAAAGGGCAAAAATGGGTGTGGCCAAAGAACCTGAAGCTTAGGACTGTTCCCTTGTGCCCTGGGCATATGATTCCTCGTTTTGGCTGCATAGAACTAGTATAGTTTCCTGAGTGACTGAGGAGTGGTCAGTCATGCTGAGAAGTCCAGTTTTCCTGTTTCATACAAGCCCTCAGGAAGCAAGCACCCTGATTTGGGGGTCCATATGGTAAGAAAAGATCTTCAGCTAGTATTTCCTGGGTAGAAATACTAGGCAGAAGAACCTCGCTTCCCCTTAGATCCTGGCCCAGACCGCCTCAGGAGAATGGAGCAACAGGGTGGTATCCAAGCTTTGGCCTGGCCCTCAGAGGAAAGAAAAAAGTATTACAGGAAGTCAGATTAGGAAGAGCATCTTTTGGGCCTTACACCATTTGTTTGATGCCCCCTTAGTAAAAAAGAAAAAAAAAACCACCTTCTGTATGCAATGCTCACTATTTGTCTGGTACTGTACATTTTTTGCCTTTAGTCCAAAATAACATTCCCCCATTTAACAGATAAGAAGAGTTCGAGGAGGGAAGTTCAAGAAGGGTAAATGAAGCATTCTTCAACGCAAAGTGAGAGATGCAAAGCAGAGCCCTGCTTTCTTGAGTTCTCACTGTCACATGCCCCATAGCCCTGATGTTTTGAAAATGACTCTTTCCCTCTTCCTGCCCGTCTGTCTTGCCCACCCTTAGCACTGAACCAAGTTTGAAGCTGACAGGTGCCAGGGATGTAGCCCAGAGACACAGTGCCTGCTTTGCAAGCACCAGGTCATAAGTTTGTCTCCTGGTACAAAAAAAGGTTAGAGGCAGAGGTCCTGGGATGAGTTTGGAGAGGCAAAATCAGCCCCTTTCTCTGTTCTGAAAGTTGCCACCTCACTCTGCTGAGCTAAGGTTAATCATCCAAGGCCAGCCAGGACACCCCTAGCTCAGAGCAAAGATTCAGTGCAGGAAAATTAGACTGAGTTTGGGAAGTGCGAACTTTTCCTTGGTGAGAGGTTCCTGGGGGCAGAGGAAGACACAACAATTTTACGGGCCACCTGTATGTGAAGAAACTATAATTAACAGTGAACCCTGGGAAAATCACAAAGGCCACATTGAATTCAAATATTTTTGTCACATCTGAAATTTCACATAATTCCATTTTCCTTGGGCAGTGAATAAAACTGCATAGAAGTTATGGGCAGCTGAAGAATCATTACCACCTTTCACTAATAAAATGTAAGCAGTTTGATTCTTCAACACCTACTTGCCAAGGGAGTATTAAGCTTTGGGGGATAAGAGATGAGTGAGGGTGATATGACTCTGAAGCATTCCACACAAGGGGCAGTTTGAAAGGGAGGAGATGGAGGGAGAAAGGAGATGGGGGGTAAGGACCACCTCTGGAGGTTTAAATGGTCATTTCGAGCATAGGCCTTAGAGTTAAGCATAGACTTGAATTTTGACTTTAATATTTAGTGTCTTTTAACTTTGGCAAAATTACATCTCCCCTCTAAGATTCATTTCCTTGTCACCAAAATGGCGATGGCAGTAATGCCTCCTTAGCTGTTATGTGGGGACTCAGCATGTACATGTGTGGATCTGAGGAAAGGGTCTGACAAGGTGCCTCTGCACCTCCGATCTCACAGGGCTTTTGCAGGCTTATGTTAGGTCAATCTCTGAGCCTCGGAGATCGCAGAGACAAATAGACATTTCAACAAAAATGACATCTTAGGGCTGGCGAGATGGCTCAGTGGTCTAAAGCACCTACTTAGAGCAAGCTAAGCTAAGCAAAGCACAGGGACCGCGGTTCAATCCCCCAGCACCACATACCAGCCAGCCCCGCCCCCTGGTGGGCTGAGCTGGCCCCACACAAACAAAATAAATAAATAAATAAACAAATAAATTTAAAAAAAAATGACATCTTAGATACCAGCGAAGACTAGGTGGGGTGGGGTGGGGAAGTGAGGACAAGGGGCAAAGAGAGGAAGTGGCAGGTGGCCTTGTAATACTCCGCGTGCCTGTGAGGGAGTGGAATGCTGGGTCCTCAAGTGCAGTTCAGTGATCTTTAAGGAGCAGGACAAGTCCCCTGAGTAATGACAGTTCTGTTTTTAGATCTCACCACCTGCTGAGGAGCAAATCCTTTCAAGACCCAGAGTCCACATCCAGCACCAGAGGCACCAAGACACCGGAGAGAACAGGGCAGGGGGCCACCATGCTGTGGACGTTCACTCTCTTGCTCTTCTGTATTCGTGAGTACATGGAAGGGGTGAGGGACATGTGACTGTCCTAGGTACTCCAGAGAAAGCATACCTTGGGGAGGGAGATGGGAGTACTGAGAATGGAAGGACAGAGATGGGACAAGGGATCTCTCCTTCACCATTAATCTCTCTTTTCAGGGCTGAGTCTAGGTATCACAACGATAGGTAAGTAAATTCTACTGCTTTGTGTACTTTCTTTCCTGAAGGCACCAAGACACAGATCTGCTTCCATAGCCCTGGCATAACTTCCTGGAGAGCTTGGGAATCAGAGGGAATCAGAGCTTACCTCCATTCCTGACTCAGTCCCCACAAAATCAGGATCTCAATCTTAGAAGGAAAGGGAGTGAAACTTGAACTTTAGTTCACAGCTCATTTGAGTTTGTGGAGTAAATATCTGGGATTGCCAACCCACACCCTTCATGAGCAGACACTCTTGTTTCCAGAGGCAAGAGAAGGGATTTGCATCAGGGCTAATTTTAAGGTATGTTGGGGCGTGTGTTCTGGGAGAGAAGGGGCTAGACTGCTCACATCTTTGTGATCTTTGGAAATGACAGCAGTGGAATCACAACCAGAGCTGTGGATGGAGTCCAATTACCCAGACACCCCTTGGAAGAACATCACGCTTTGGTGCAGAAGCCCCTCTCAACTGTCAAGCAAGTTCCTGCTTCTGAAGGATAAGACACAGATGACATGGATCCGGTCTTCCTACAAGACCTTCCAGGTTTCCTTCCTCTTAGGTGCCCTCACTGAATCCAACACAGGTCTTTATAGGTGCTGCTACTGGAAGGAGACAGGCTGGTCAAAGCCCAGCAAAATTCTAGAGTTGGAAGCACCAGGTAAGAAGAGATTGATACTCAAGAATAATATCCAGCTACTAGAATTCAAAGTTGCCTTCTTAGGACAGGGTTTATTTAATTCACTCATTAACCTCAAATGTATGCATGTACACATGCATTCGATAGTCCATAGTACCTATTCTGTATCAGACAATGCACAGCAGAGATGCAGGTGCTAAGGCAGAAGTGGGAAAAGAAGGGATGGAAAATAAGGAGCATACAGGGAAGACCCATCCAAAATAGAGGTCTTGTCCACTGTTCCCTGGGCAGCACTATGTTTGCTGTACCCAATTGCAGTTCGTTCTTTCTTTCCAGGCCAGCTGCCTAAGCCCATCTTCTGGACCCAGGCTGAGACACCCCCTCGTCCTGGATGTAACATTAACATCCTGTGCCATGGCTGGCTGCAGGATTTGGTATTCATGCTGTTTAAAGAGGGGTATGCAGAGCCTGTGGATTACCAAGTCCCAACTGGGAGAGTGGCCATATTCTCCATTGACAACATGACATCTGAGAAGGAAGGGGTTTACATATGCCGCACTCACATCCAGATGCTCCCCACTCTGTGGTCAGAGCCCAGCAACCCCCTGAAGCTGGTCATAGCAGGTGGGTGTGGCCGGGGCTGCTGGCAGCTGACAATTACTCTCCCAGGGATCATGGTTCGTTGAGCCAGGGTTGATAATGTTATTTCCTTGAAGCCAGTTCTTACACCCTGCAAAGCCCATGAGGTAGAGTCACTTGACATTTCATTGAGACACAGATGAGAATTGCACATGCTGCAAAGCAGACATATGGGAGCCAATCATTTGACTCATGAGGGAGCCCAGCCAACTGTTCAGCAGCTTCAGCTCATTGAAGCTTTGTTGTTCTCTATCTGTCGAATATCATGCATTCATTTATTCTTTCAACCAGTATTTATTGAGTACCTAGTATGTGCCAGGCATGGCCAAAGCAGTCTTATAAACTGGTTTTTTTTTTAAGATTTTAAAGAATGTACCTATTTGTGATTATTATTTTTAAGTGTCGGAATCAAATGAACTGCTAGAGTGCTGATTCCAAAGAAATGACAAAGAAAGAGATAGTTGGTATTTGTGAAATGACTTGATGAATTACTTTGCTACCATATTAACACAGCTAATAAGGTAGCACCAAGTTTTAAGCAAAAGATGGCTGCTCTGAAAGCCTACATGCTAAACACACAATCCAGTCCTAGTTCCCCAACCCATGGCTGGATATTTCTAGATAGAATTGACCACTTTTACTTTAGGCCTTCCATCAAGCTACATAGACATGGGCAAGCTATGATACTGAAAGTAGACTGCATCTAGAAGTAACAATCCTGTGTTCTAGTTCCACCTCTGACTCTGCCTCCCTGGATGATCTCGAGCAAGTCGCTTCACTTCTCTGTGATTTGGTTTCTTCTGCTCTAAAATCAGATAACCGTATCTATCTGACCTATTGTGTAATGCCTCTCTATGCCTCAGTTTGCTGATCTGCAAAATGCCTACCTCACAGGGTTGTTGTGAGGACTTGCCCAAATATATGTACAGTGCCTGGCATATAAGCTTTGAATAAATGGTAGATACTAATTTTATTAATATAGCTTTTTATTGAGAATCAAAGAATAGGGGACTGCCTGCTTAAACTGTATTGTGGATGTTCATTGTATGCACACCCTTCTGGTGTAGATTCCACTAACACACACTTCTGTGGTTACCTGTGGCTCAAACCCCCTTTGGCACATGAGGTTTTTGGTGCCAGAGACTGTGTCTTCTTTAGCTTAATAAGCCTACTCATGTAGGATGCCTGACATGTCCTAAACATTCTGAGTGTGTGACAGAACTGATCTTTCTATTGTGGATATTATAGCTTGGATTGGGATGGGGGAAAAAGGGTGGAAGGTGACTTTACATTAGTAGTACAATCACCTTGGAGAAACAGCCCATAGAAATGAAGGTAGGCCCTCATGAACAGAGATTCCATTGGGTTGCAGACTTATTGACCCAACTCTCTTTAATAGCATCTTCCAATCTTATGTTAGAAATCAGGTTTAAAGTGAGTTTAATGTGTTTAAAAGAAAAAAAGAAAACCTCTCCTTAGCAATATGTACTAAAATGTATGCTCCACAGATATAAACTCTAAGTCATTTTCTGAAGTTTGGATTTTGAGGTGGTTTGGAAGAACTATAATTGTCATTTTAGGAACTTGCAGACATAGGGAGTCTAGATAGGTACTCACAGGAACAGAGCTCCGAGGAGCTGGCCAGAGATAAAGAGCATAAGTAAACCTATGCTTGGCTACATCCTAGAGCAGGCAGAGATTTAAGGATGAGAAGTGGTGTGGACAAACCTCAAGATACTACTTTGTGTCCACAAAAGCTAGGACCTAAAAAATAGAAGAATAGGGAAGAATCATCATACCTCTAACTACAGGGTCTCTTCCCTTTCTAGGACTCTACCCCAAACCAACTCTGACAGCACATCCTGGGCCCATCATGGCACCCGGAGAAAGCCTGAGTCTCAGGTGCCAAGGGCCAATCTATGGAATGACCTTTGCTTTAATGAAGCTTGAAGACACGGAGAAGTCTTTTTACCATAAGAAGTCAAAAAATAATGAGGCATATTTCTTTTTCCCGACTCTGAAGATCCACGATTCTGGACGTTACCTCTGTTTTTACTATGATGGGTCATACAGGGGTTCACTGCTTAGTGATATCCTGAAAATCTGGGTAACCGGTAAGCGAGGGGTATGCTATGGGACCTACACTAGGAATTAAGGGTGTAAGACTCCCTCTGGATCCCCTGGAGATCCTAATTTTACAGCCAGGGCTAAGTAGCGATTTGCCAAGGGTAACCTAGAGAATGAGGAGGGAAAGCATTCTAAGTGCTGGGAGTGAGCTGTCAGACCATGAGCCCTGTGCATTTTGGATCTTGTTCTAGATGCTTTCCCCAAGACCTGGCTCCTTGCTCGGCCTAGTTCTGTGGTGCCAATGGGCCAGAACATAAGCCTGAGGTGTCGAGGATCAGTGGATAGTGTGGGACTGGCACTCTATAAGAAAGGAGAAGACAAACCACTTCAGCTTTTGGATGCCACCAGTGTTAATGACAACAAACCATTCTTTCTCCATGATGTGACCCACTGTGATGCTGGTATTTATAGTTGTCACTATCGTTTCACCTGGAAGACCTCCATTAGGATGGGAACACACAACACTGTGGAGCTTGTGGTTGTAGGCAAGTGCTAACAAATGCTTTTTCTTAAAATCACTAACCTGCTTGTTTTTATCATTATTACAGCATTATAAGGAGAAGTGAGTGGACTTTGGCATTTCCTTGGGGCTGTGAGCCAGAACAAACACACTAGTGGGATATTTTAGAACTTTCTCCAAATCCTTAAGGGCCTTCTCTTCCAAGATTTTTCCTCAAGCTCTACCTTTCAGCCTAGCCAAACCTTCTGTAATGCCTAGAAAAAATATTTTCCTCAGGCCAGGGGAATATTATGTGTGAAGTCTTCCAGACTAAAGGTAGGAACCAAGAATCATTAGAGTGCTGAATTAGGGGCAAAAGAATTACTAATGCACAGTGATCAAGTGGAAGTAGAAAGAAAAGAGCAAATGGTAAGCTTGAAAATGTTTGGTAGTGGTGAGAAGGTATTGAACTGAGGGTTTATGCTCAGTTCTAACTGAGATCAGCTCTAACTCTGGTATCTGGATCTGTTTCAGATCAGCCTCCTAAACCCTCGCTCTCAGCTTGGCCCAGCAGCATTGTTAAGAGAGGAATGACCATCACCCCTCAGGGCCGAATGTCTCATCCCATACTTGAATTTTCTCTGGTGTGGGACAAAAGAGCAACATTCCGTAAACTCTCAAAGGATGGAAACTTCATCATCACTAACGTTGAAAGGAAAGGCACAGGGACCTACAGTTACAGCTATTGCGTAGAGGCACATCGTAATATCTGGTCACATCGCAGTGAGCCTCTGAAGCTGAAGGGGCCAGCAGGTGAGGGGGTAACTTTTCAAAAGAAAAGCCCTCCATACACCTGGGTTTCCTAGAGCAGTGCCCAAAAAGATATGGGAAAGGGACATGGGGCTTTGAAATCAGAGTCCATGGGTTTGGGTGTCCTTCCCAGAGTAGTCTCACCAGCACTTAAAGCCTTATAAGTATCCTGATCTCCAGGAAAAGGAAAGCCACTTCTGCCTCACTTTCCCTATGGGAGCACTCTTGCTAACCAGCCCCCCCCCCTTCACCCATCATGAATGTATTAGCTACTCCTGTCCTCATCAAGGTCCCTGCTTCTGGTCTTCCCTGGCCACAGGCTTTCTCACCCGGAATTCCATTCTGAGTGAAGCTTTCAGGTTGTCCCTAATCATACAGCTTGTTGCCCTGCTGTTTGTATTGCTGTGGATCAGGTGGAAGTGCCGGAGACTCAGAATCAGGTAACTATCTTGTTCCAGCCTACTGTTTTCCACACTACTCCAGGTTCCCTTGGTCTTAGGAATAAGCCTATCTGAGTTGAGTGTTATGCCCTACATAGTCCCTACCTTCTGGGCTTAGATAAGACTTTCTTAACCAAGTTATTTCTCTTTTACCTCCTAGAAGAGTCATCATCCAAGCCAGAGAGTGGCAGAATGCATAATTCTCAGAGCTAGAGAAATAATCCAAACTGTATTCACTGACCTCACCTCTATCAAGAGTGCCCATATCTCCCTGAAAACTTCCTTGCCCCTCAGGCCTGATTGTAGTCTCCCTGTTTAACTTGCTCCAAAGTATTTTTCTCTTGTAAAATATTCTCTCTAGGGTTGATATTCAACTCCCATCCCCACTTTTCATGATTACCCCCAGCTCTTAAGGGCTAGCCTTGTGGCTTTTCTCAGTTGCCTTAGAAACCAGTGTGTCAACTACTCTGGCCTTCAACTGCATGTGCAAAGCATCCTGGGGAAAAAGTCTGAACTTGGATAGGCATCTGATAAGGCAATGGATGGAGTCAGGAAGTTATACTATTTCCTCTAACCCACAAAATGGTGAACCTACTTTCTTGAAATTTCCTTAAATTCACCTTTTTTGATAATTCCTAAGGCTTGTCTCATGCTACTGTACTAGAGAATGAGAAGAAAAATAACTTCTCTTAACTGGTAGGAAGGCTCATCTCCTGAATTCTTGCTATACCCCTCTGCCTCTGTGTGATCACAGAACTTTGTGTGTCTGGGAGTGTAATTACACATGACTGTTTCCACTGGGATCTGAGGAGCAAAGTGCTTGGACAGTAGGAGGGGAGCCACCTAAGCCTTCTGCAAAAACCACCACCCTTTGAATTTTCAAAACATTTCAGTGGCGTTCAGTTTCTGGATCTTCCTGGGTTCTGCCCTGAGTCCTATGCATAGTAGGATATCCTCCAATCCATGGGTCAGAAAAAAGTTGCAACTTTATGGATCCCATCCCATCCCAGGACCATTGCATCAGAGAATGAGATCAGAAATCAGATTTCAGAGAAATCAGCTTGAAAAGTGTTTTGCTGACCAGGAAGTAGGAGAAGGGTCAGCGCTTTCTAAGTTAAAGTGGTCAAATGGATTTTGACTTAATATCACCTTATTCTAAAGAGCCCGTGCCTCAACGCTGCTGCACACTTCTAATCATACTCTGGGTGGAGGGAGGGGGATCCCACTCTGACAAGCTTAGCTCAGCACTGACAGTCTTCTGGTAATTCATCACGGCTGCCTAGGCAACCCTTCCATAACAAAGGCAGGTGAGGCAGGTCGGTCTGAGGACCAATCCTACCATAATAACAACTGCTTCCAAACTTAAACTTGATGACGGAGAAACACTCAACGTTGCTCCCTCCACCCCCACTCCCCAGAGCTGCCAATCACATTGAGCTCCAGGGGTTCTGAGAACTGCAGATACAAAAGCATTTTCCCATCTGACATCTCAATTCCAGCAAAGACTAATCAGGGGCCAAGGGAAGCTGACATACGATATGGGATATGGGCTGGAGGGGGGAGGGGATGTGGGTCACGAAAGAGCAAGAGTTTTTGTAGGTGGCTAGGCCCTCAAAAAGAAAAGTCACTGATGTCAGAAAAGGTTATATCCTATTAGCCTGGCCATATCCAATCCCTACTGGGTAATGAGTAAACCAATGACATAAATTGCCGCCCCCTTCTCCCCGCCCTCCCCCTGAACCCAGCAACTCCTCTACTCTCTTTTCTGGTCTCACTAGAGAAGCCTGGTTGCTGGGAACAGCTCAAGGGGTCACCATGCTCTTCATCGTCACAGCCCTTCTCTGCTGTGGTGAGTACCAGGGGGTGGGAAGGGGCCTGGGCAGCAGGCCGGCTGAGTGAAGTCCTGTGGAGGAGGGGCAGAGACCTGGCAGCACTTTCTCTTGCAGGACTGTGCAATGGGGTATTGACAGAAGAGACTGGTGAGTTTTTCCTGCTCTAGACTGGGACATTCCTCTCAGGAGATCTGAAATAACTACACAGTGTCAGTGTCAGTGGCCAAGGAGTGACTGGTTGGGAGGGAAGGACAGCCAGGAAGGGGCACTTACTAAAGTTGCTGACAAAATTCAGCCTTCAACTCTGCCTTTCTGCCTGCAAAAATTTTCCCCAAGCTTTCAGCACTTTTCTCGGGCTCAGCTGAAACATCAGCTTCCTCTTTCCCCAGCACCTGAAGGAAGAAAGGAAGGAAGGGAGGGAAGGAGGGAGAAAGGAAGGAGAAAAAGAAGGAAGGAAGAAGGGAAGAAAGAGCAAAAAGGAAGGAAAAGAAGGAAGGAAGGAAGGAAGGAAGGAAGGAAGGAAGGAAGGAAGGAAGGAAGGAAGGAAGGGGGAGCAGGTTTGGATCTGAGTAGAGGTAGACAGTGTGATTTGGGTAGGGGTTCAAGGGCAAGGAAAGGAGGGGGGAAGAAGAGAAAGGATGGCTTCATTAACTCTGCTGTTTCTAGAAATCATCATGCCAACCCCTAAGCCTGAGCTGTGGGCAGAGACGAACTTCCCTCTGGCCCCGTGGAAGAACTTAACCCTCTGGTGCAGAAGTCCTTCTGGCTCAACGAAGGAGTTTGTGTTGCTGAAGGACGGGACGGGGTGGATCGCTACTCGCCCAGCCTCAGAGCAGGTCCGGGCCGCCTTCCCGCTTGGTGCCCTTTCCCAGAGTCACAGAGGGAGTTATCATTGCCATTCATGGGAGGAGATGGCTGTGTCAGAGCCCAGTGAAGCACTTGAGCTGGTGGGGACAGGTAAGAAAAGGCAGAGGGTCCTACCAGAGTGATTCCCCAGTGCCCTCTGGGACTCTAGTGATGCAGGGGAGGGGGGATTCCCTGAAGCGGGGGAGGGGTAGCAAAGAGAGAGGGGAGATTGCTTGGAAGAGCCCAGGGGTAGCCCAGGATGGATTTTGTTGTTGTTGTTTCCACTTATTTGTTTTTCTGATAAAGTGAACCTGAGCGTCCCATCTGGGCACCTCCAAACTTCTAACTGCTCCACTTCATTTTGTTTTCCAGATATCCTTCCCAAACCTGTCATTTCAGCTTCTCCCCCAGTCCGGGGCAAGGAACTGCAAATCCGGTGCAAAGGATGGCTGGCAGGCATGGAATTCGCTCTGTACAAGGAGGGAGAGCAGGAACCTGTCCAGCAACTTGGTGCTGTTGGGAGAGAAGCTTTCTTTACAATCAGAAGAATGGACGATAAAGACGAAGGCAATTACAGCTGCCGCACACACACAGCAACAGTGCCCTTCAAATGGTCTGAGCCCAGTGAGCCCCTGGAACTTGTCATTAAAGGTAGAGCTGAAACAAACAGGTCTGGGAGGAAAGAGCTGGAGGCAAAACCTCTGCCAGACACTCCTCTCTTCATGGCAAACTTTGCTTCTGGTCCTAGGAGCTTGTGTCCAATCTTAGAACCAGGCAGGCGTGGTGCTGGGAGTGCCAGGGCCTCTGGCTGTACGATATTAATAGCCATAATCGTTATTAATAGCTTGAGTTTGTGGAGGGTGATTTAAGTCTTCTAATTAGTTTCCCATCAATTATCTCATTCAACTATACTGCGCATCTTCAAGGGAGGGGGAGTAGGTATCATTCTTCTTTCTTGTCCAAATGGGCAAACTGAGGCATAGAGAACCAGCTGAGTCTCTGAAATTTCAGCTTTTTCACTAGCCTCTGTTGCCTACCCCAGTGACAGGGAGCATTCACTGAAAGGCAATGAGGCATAAGGGCAGGGCGGGCCCTGTAAGATTTTTAAATTTACCTGCTTTGGAGTGAAAACTCTATAGAAAGCAGAGCAGCTGCCAAGAACCAGTATTTGGTGTATTTGCTTTCTTTTTCTTATTTTATTTTTGTGTTGTATGTGTGTTTATGGTGTTTTTTATTTTGCTTTTGCCTCCCAGAAATGTATCCAAAGCCCTTCTTCAAGACATGGGGCAGCCCTCTGGTCACGCTGGGTACACGATTGACTTTCAATTGCTCCACTCCACACCAGCACATGAGCTTTATTCTCTACAAAGATGGCAGTGAAATAGCGTCCAATGACCGCTCCTGGGTAAATCCAGGGGCCAGTGCAGCTCACTTCCTCATCTATTCAGTGGGGATTGGAGATGGAGGGAACTACAGCTGCCGTTATTATGACTTTGATATCTGGTCTGAGCCCAGTGACACAGTGGAACTTGTGGTGACAGGTGAGGAATGGGAAAATCCTGGTATAGGTGGTATTATCCTGGCACAGTGCACAGAAGGGCCATCAGTGGGAAAGGAAGCAAATGTTCGTTCTAAAAAACCCTGAGAAAGTGCTAGGGGCAGTGCCTATCTGGTGGCCAACAGTCCATTGTAAGACAGCTGCTTATATATTATTATAGGAAGAAGAGGCAGGCAAGGGGGCAGCAAAAAATTCACTTCTGAGGAGAGAAGTAAGGCAGATTGGGTTGTCCAGTCCAACAGCCAAATTCAAATTGCTCTATTTCTGAAATCCTTTTGGGGATTGGCCTTGCGTGTTAGGTTCAATGTCCACTTTTTCTTTAGCTAGGCTGTCAGAGATTGGTGGGCTGGATGGCCCTCAGAGGACGGGAGGAGACCTTGAAATGTCAGCTGCAGCCATTACAAATGATAGTTTTCAAAGGCTATTTAACGTCACAAGGAAGTGTTTACAATATAAAGTTAAGTGAAAAATATCAGATTGCCAAACTGCGAATCCAGTGGGGTCCAAATTGTGTAGTTGTTGTTACACGGACACAAGCATATATAGAAAGAGTAAATGGAAAATGCATAAAGAACAGTTATCTTTGACTTGGTAGAATTGCTTTATCTGGCTTTTATTTTATCATATTTTCTAAATAAATGCATATTGCATCACATAATAACACTATGAAAGCTGTTTGCAGGATACAGCAAATGGACTTCTCTCATGTTATAATCTTTTTAATTTCAGAATTCTACCCCAAGCCCACTCTCCTGGCACAACCAGGTCCGGTGGTGTTTCCTGGGAAGAATGTGACGCTTTGTTGCCAAGGGACTTTGACAGGCATGAGGTTTGCCCTCTTGCAGGAGGGAACCCAGGCTCCCTTACAGTTCCAGAGTGCTGCAGGGAGCTCAGTTGACTTCATCCTCCACACTGTGGGAGTAGAGGACTCTGGGAACTACAGCTGCGTCTACTATGAGACAACCATGTCGAACCGGGGCTCATATTTCAGTGTGCCTCTCATGATCTGGGTGACTGGTAAGGATAGACAAGGCAGGGGACTGGGATGGAGACAACTGGAGCAGGGATTAGCATGGGTAATCTCTTTTGGAAGACCATGTTAAACCACAGACACAAACAACTGTGTCCAGGAAAAAGTTAAAAGGTTAACTGAGGAAGTGAGAAGCTCCCATACTCACAACTATCCACCTTTGTTTTCTTTCTAGACACATTCCCCAAGCCGTGGCTCTTTGCTGAGCCCAGTTCTGTGGTCCCCATGGGGCACAATGTTACACTGCGGTGCCAGGGGCCAGTTCGTGGAATAGGGTACATTTTGCACAAGGAAGAAGAAGCCACTTCAAGGCAGCTCTGGGGGTCCATTAGTGTTGATGGAACATTCCCCATCACCAATGTATCTGCTGCTAGCATAGGTCATTACAGCTGTTACTACCACCCTGATTGGACCAGCCTCATAAAGATACAGCCCAGCAACACCTTGGAGCTCATTGTCACAGGTAAAGGAACAATGCTTCAATGTGGGAATGTGAGCATAGAAAGGAGGGAGTTCACTGGTTTATGAGTGATATTCTCAAAACACCCAAGGAAAGGCCAGCAGCAGTCTTCCTGCTTTATTGATCAGAGGCTCCATTGATGCACTGGAAAGTGACCTATTCTCTCTGACTTAGGACTCATTTCTTCCAGGATTACTCCCCAAACCCAGCTTGTTAGCCCAGCCTGGTCCCGTGGTGGCCCCTGGAGAAAATATGACTCTTCAGTGCCAAGGAGAACTGCCAGACTCAACATTTGTCCTGTTGAAGGAAGGGATTCAGGCCCCCTTAGAACACAAGAGGCCAAGTGGGTACAGAGCAGACTTCTGGATGTCCGTGGTGAGAGGTGAAGATTCTGGGATCTATAGCTGTGTTTATTATCTGGACTCTGCTCCCCTTGTGGCTTCAAATCACAGTGACTTGCTGGAGATATGGGTGACTGGTAAGGTCCTGCAGATTTACTGAGTAACTTAGAATTTATAGCTTTTAGCAGTTAGTAATAAGAGGTTTCAACCTAGTTCTCCAACTGTATTTTTGTGCTTTGCAGACAAGCCTCCTAAACCCTCACTGTCAGCCTGGCCCAACACAGTGTTCAAGCTGGGGAAGGACATCACCCTTCAGTGTCGAGGACCCTTGCCAGGTGTGGAATTTGTCCTAGAACATGAGGGAGAGGAAGCACCTCAGCAGTTCTCAGAAGATGGAGACTTTGTCATCAACAATGTAGAAGGAAAAGGCATAGGAAACTACAGTTGCAGCTACCGCCTCCAGGCCTCCCCTGATATCTGGTCAGAGCCTAGTGATCCTCTGGAGCTGGTGGGAGCAGCAGGTGAGTGGCTAGTCCCTCCATGAAGGGTCCTGGAATGGCACACTTGAAACCCCAGGGACAGCCTCAATGGAGACTGTCCAGATCAGGAAAGAGGACAGGCTTTGAAGTTGGAGACCTCAAATGTGCCATTTGCCTCTTAAGGATGGTGAGGAGGTTGGACCCTAGCAGGATATTTGCAGGGCCCTCCCCCACCCCAGGAAAGGCAGGCTGTCTGCTTTGACATATGTACCACCAGTGACCTTCCCTCTGCAGGCTCCACACATGGCTCCCTTGTGACTCTACAGGAGGCCAAAGTGAGGAGTGACATGAGATAAAGAGAAACATACTAACCATTTGCTAACTTTCATGACCTTTGTGTGCTTTTATACATCACAGGGCCTGCTGCTCAAGAGTGCACTGTGGGTAACATTGTCAGAAGTAGCCTCATTGTGGTGGTTGTGGTAGCCTTGGGGGTGGTGCTAGCCATAGAGTGGAAGAAGTGGCCTCGACTCCGAACCAGGTAAAGGCCCATCTGAGCCTCCTGGAAAGCAAATGTGCTGGGAAAACCATGGTGCAAATGTTTCTATAGCATCAATGTTTCTGAATACTCTCCTTTTTCCTAAACAGGGGCTCAGAGACAGATGGCAAAGACCAGACCATAGCGCTTGAAGAGTGTAACCAAGGAGAACCTGGGACCACCACAAGCTCTCCCTCATCAACCACCTGTGGGATCTCCATGGAACAGCCAGTCCCAATATAATAATCTTCTTTTCCAGAGTTTTCTTCTCTTCTTTTTCACCCTCAGAGATCTGAAAATATGACTGGTTACCCTGAGAGTCAGTTCCACCTACTGGTTTTTGGCTTCTGATAACCTGAGTTGAGTCAAGGGGAATTTGAGAGTTGCAAGCTCAACCAGGACAAGATGTTTCCTGAAGAGAGGTGCCCCCATCCCCTATAACTCCTCACTGTACTGATTTACTGGTGCATGAAATTCTATTAAAATGTATTCTTCTGAATAAAGAGACTATTCACTATTTAACTGCAAAACTGTAGCAGTAGTCATCTTTTGTCACCCTCCACTTGCAACTTAGCAGAAATGGCATCCTGAAGCTGACCTCCATGGCTGAGAAAGGGGATATGAGGCTAGTACACCAGAGAAATGTGTTCAAATATGGAGTGGAGAAGAAGGGTGGGCTCCAGAATAGTGCTTCCCTGTTTGATTTGGGACATAGTAACTGAACAGAGTCTCCTTGTATTCCATTACTGAATGAATGAGTGAGTGAGTGAGTGAGTGAGTGAGTGAGTGAGTGAGTGAGTGAATGAATGAATTAATGAATGAATGACAATGTTCTGTCCAAGTTGAGCCTGAAAAAAACACTGAAGTTATAATGTTACTTTTTGTTCGTACTGGGAATTGAACTCAGGACCTTGTGCTTGCCAGTCAAATGCTTATGCCACTGAGCTATATATCCCCAGCCCTGAAGTTACATTGTTTTTACCATGTTACTTTTCAGTTCAGACCTAGTAAACTACTTTCAAACAGTAGATTTGGCCCTTCTGTACAACATTGAAACTAGGGAACTGTTTTCTGTGATCCATACTACCAATCATAGGATATAAACTTACTCAGTCTTAAATATAGACAGTTTCTAAACCTTAACTTTGCCTTGTTTAAAGGCAGTTTTATTTTCCCAACAATATTGGCCTCCAGTGGTAGGATCTCAGGGAGTGAGGAAACCAGTATCCTGTGTGTTTTGGATCAGGGACCTCCCAGAATCTTCTTCCAGAGCCCCCAGTGGGAACAGCCCCTGACCTTTCTCTCTGGATCACCATGTCATTTGCTCCAGTGGTGAGAATTCAGTACACATTGGATTAGGAAGGGATACTTTACCTATTTCCTTGAACCTTGTTTAAGATCTTGGAAATGTTCCTTGAGTCCTAGAGGAGGTCCTCATCCCTTCCAGTATGACCCTAATATTCTCGCCTCTCAGCACTATTTAGTTCTAAGCAAACATTATTCAACAGAATAATATACAGGAGTTCAGCACACAGTGAGTTATTTATCCCTATTGCAATGAAGTATAGAAAGCAATGCCTATATTCTTGCATTAGGAAGCTTATTTACCCAGCAAGTTAATGAAAAAAAAGCATCCCATTTCCCTTAATCCTTACAGAAAGAAACACTCTGAGTATTATAGACTAATTTGTATTAAGCTCTTTGGAATGTAGAAGTACAACGTCCCACTCTGATTTCCATTTGATGAGATTCTATTAGTCGCTTATACTAATTTCTTACAGCATTTCTAAAAATTGAATTTCAAAAGTGCTTTTACATTTGAATTTGTCCAAAGCTAATTGTTGCTTTGTGCTGAACACCATTCTGTGCCCTCAAACTCTGCATCTTTAATCCTCAATTGAACTGCACATTTGGAACACTGGAAGGAGGCCCATCCTTGGGCCTTGGTTTTAGAATAAAAGGCCTTTGATCCAGTCAGATTTTGTTTTCTGATCTTTGGATATTTCAAAGTGTATACTGTCAAGGCTAGAGATAGGGCTGTATGAGTTAGTAAGTGATCACTAGATTGCTTTAGCTCTTCACCAAGGAAAGGAGAAATGGGAAGAAAAGATCAGAGAGCTAAGGACTGAAATTTAGAGATGCCTCCAAGTTAGAATAGCACAGTGAAGGAAAGACAAGCATAAAAGGGAAAGTACTCTCATGAAATCCAGATATTGAACCAGGTATCTGCTGTGCCAAAAAGGTTCAAATGGAGATACTCATGTAATCAGAGAAATGTCTGATCAAATTTTAAGCAACAAACAGATTGTGAGCAATACTGTGACACTGGACTAGTGGCTGGCTTTCTAAAAACACACATACAGTTCTTTCACGCAGAGAACTAAGTTTTACATGTACTAGAAAGGAAATGTATAGTTTCCAATTACCTGTGAAATACTTAGACAAAGTGTGGCTTTGGGATTTAATTTCATACTGTCTGCCAAATGAATTAAGTATCTGTTTATAATGCAAAAGTCAGCACAACTCAGCTGGTCCAAAGATAGTGAGTTCTCTCAATTGATCGCTCACAATCAGTTACAAAAGTTGTCAAAACTATCTCAGTGAATTAAATATTTATTTTTCCTGCCATCGTAACTTCTTTCTGACAATTTTCCACGTGCTATGTTTTTTCAACCTGGTTGCCATGGAAATCAGTCCCTTTAACCCTGACCGGCCTCTAATCATCAGCCTCGCGTCAGGTAATTTCTGGAAAATGGAATCTCAATTAAGGTGGAGAATTTGTCTGGGAGGACTCCAAAAAGAAAGGCCAAAGACTTTGTCTAAGTTTTAGAAAAGAAATGTAAACTCCCCCTGATCTTCCAGTTCACATACCTTTGGCTCCAGCATCTCGGAGACAGAGACTGTCCAGGCCTTGTGCCACCCAGTACAGAATCTTCTCTGAAGTAAAGATGATGGAGACACATAAGCCTCTTCTTGCACATTCAGGAACAGGGTGACCACTATGTCATGAGATAACATAATAATCTTGAATTCTTTCTATCAGTCCTGTATCTGCCTGCATCTATTCCCTCCATCATCACTGACTTTAATTCAAATGCCAATTGCAACCCAGGGCAAAGAAAACTTGGAAAATGGAGATTGTTGTCCCTGAGTCCATTAAATCTCACTCAGTGGTACTATAGGAAGGTGACTGGCATTCATTTGCAAATGTATTTTATGTCTTCAACTCTAAATTACCCAAGTTCCACAACAAGCAAGCTTCATTTCTACTCCACTCTTTTTCAGGTTCAACCAGAGCAACACTTTGCATACATTTTACCTATCTACTTATTCTGCAATATTTGTTGGTTTCCGTCTGTATGGCAGACACTGTTTGGAGCACTGAATGTGAAAGAAACAACAATCTCTGCCCTTCTGGTATGAGAAAAAGATCACTAATATATTTGGTAATAAACAATATGAAATATTATACAGAGAGAAATCTATGATCAAAAATAAAGCAGAGAGAGGTGGTAAAGTGATATATTTTGTGAGGAGATTGTTACCATATTAAAATTATGGTTGAGAAGACCTCACTGAGAAGGCGACATTTCAGTTATGATTTCAAGGGATCAAAGTAGAAAGTCATGTAGCTATCTAAGCAATGCAGCTTCTCATCAGAGGTAATAGCAAGCAAGTTCAAAAGTCCTAAGACAGAAGAGCAACTGGCTGGTTTGTGAAACTAGTAGTACTAGCACAGAGTCTAGCAGGAAGAGATGAGAATCAGAAGCCTGGGAGGTGATGGGACTTGAACTGGGAAAGGCCATGAAGGTCTTTGTAAGAATGTTGTTTTACCAGCTGGATAAAATGGGAAGCTACAAGAGTCATACTTAAATAGTGCTACCCAGCCTACTCCATGCAGAGCAGATTAAGACAGGGATGGGGGAAGGACACAGAGTGACCTACAGGAGAGGCTGGATTAGGCCAGGATGGTAACAGAAGCAGCAATATTATTGCGATAATTTGAGAAAAGAGCCAACAGGATTTGCTGACAGATTGGGTGTGGGGTGTGTTCTGTAAACATTTCTAATTGAAGAAAGAGCTGTTTCAAATATTGCCTTGGTGTTTCCATCCCTGAATTATTTTAATTGCATCCTCAAAAAAGAGCTGTCCAATGCCTCCCAACCAGGTCATCATTTCTAGACAGCCTGTCAGTAAGTTTGTCATTGTCCATCCAGAAATACTATAAGGAGGATACTGTCTTGTACATCTATAATAGTCTCACCAGCACTGAGGACAGAGAACAGAGAAATGATAACTTGCTGGGATCTCAACTCACAATTTGTATTAATGCCATCTAAAATTATATGAGTCCAAGGAAAGCCAGATCCTATTATTGGCTCATTGGAAATTTGTGGTAAGCTAAAACACACAGATTTTTTTTTTACAAAAACTGTTGGCTATTTCTTTTTCTATTTGTGCAAGTGATGTGTTACTTTACAATTGAGTTTTCACTAAAATGTAAGACTTGGCATTGATTTTCACTGGATTTGTCTTACAGACCCACAAAGTGATATATTTCCACTTAAATAAGCCTCTTGCTATATGTCATGCTTACAGACACGACCTCATTTATTCCTAATAACCTTTGCTATTACCCCTACTTTAAATGTGCAGGAACAAAAGCTCCAAGAGGTTAAGCACAAAGCTAGCCAGGTTATAACCAAGGGTGAAGCTAGAGCAGAATTCAGTTTTGTATATTTCCAAAGTCAGCTGTTCCCATGCTGAAATTGAGATAACACAGTACCTGGAACGTAGTAAGCATACAGTAATCATTTACTAAATTGACTACCTTCTCACAATGCTCATTTATTTATTTTATTAAGCAGCACTCATTTTGTTAGCATGTGTTAAGCTCTCTTATAGTGTTTTGCATTCACTAAGCATCTGAATCCTTACAATAAATTTATGAGGTAAGTACTCACTCCTATTCTTCCCATGTCTCTCGAAGAGGAAAAGGAAGCCATATAAAAATCAAACAAGCTTTTCAGGTCACAAAGCTAGCAAGTGTTAGGTTCAGAGTTTGGACCCAGGCAGTCTGGCTCCAGAGACTGTGCTTAAACTCACTAAGCTATACTGGCTCAGGTTTCTGTGAGATCCTGACCTTGCACTCTCAAGGGAAGGAGGTGTCTTAGCCTAATTCACTGCCCACTGCCAAGGCTAAGCCCACAGCCCTCCCTTTTTTCCCATTTCCTTTCCTTATCTACGGAAGGTGGCTCTTGAAGCTTAATAAAAAAGAATGCTTGTGCAGGATCCCAGACTTAATATTGGTCTTCCCCCTGCCCTATGGGGGTTCCACACCAGTGTACACTGCCGTAGACCAAATTCCTCCAGCTCCCAGAGGGAGAGAGTGAGATTCCACAGCTGAGGAGAGGGCCAACGTGAGGAAATGGTCACATTCTTGGGAAATCCCTGTAAAGGAATCCCCATAACTGGTAGCTGCAGGCCTGGAGAACAAAGATATTCCCTGAGGTCCCTCTCTGCC